AAAGAAAGAAAGAAAGAAAGAAAGAAAGAAAGAAAGAAAGAAAGAAAGAAAGAAAGAAAGAAAGAAAGAAAGAAAGAAAGAAAGAAAGAAAACCAAACAAAACGAACAAAAAAAATTAAAACAAAAAAATTTAAATGGAGAACGAAAAAACGGGAGTGAGGGATGAGGGGTGGAAATGTCAAAGCAAAAACAAAAAAACAAACAGGAAAGGTGGGAGAGGGAAAAGGAGAAGCAAATGTAAAAGCAGAAGGAACTGCCCAGCTCTGGGGGCTGCCCAGGCCGCCGTACCCCACCCGCGGGGGTGAATTCCACGCACAGCCGCGGGCAAAACCACGGGAGGATGGATCCCCCGAATCACGGATGAAGAAGGCGACAGGGGAGCGCCGTGTCGCCAAAGGGACGCGACGGTGTTGTCGCCCTCCCGAGAAATAACCACGAACGAATTTCCTGGTCCTGAGTGTCCGAATAAATCCCGCTGGCAGAGCCGCTGGGATGGGAGCTACGAGGGCACTCAGGGACACCCGGGGTGGGAAGGCACCCATTGCCTTCCGCGGACACGAGGGGATGGGAGTGCAGGAGCGCACCCGCTCCCACATCATCCCACGGGGAAGGAGCCGATGCCTTTTCTCCCCCCAGGGCACGAGGGACCGGGGTTTAGCGGGTGGGGGGGTCAGAGACCCCCAGAAGTGCCACAGTGGGTGCTCTCCATCACCCACGGGTCCTCGCAGGCCTCGTGGGGTGGTCACGAAGTTTGTGGAGATGAATCCGGAGCGGGCCCGGGGGGTGCGGCCGCGACTTGGGGTCTCAGAGATGGACGGCCCGAGGGGACGGGCTGGGCACTGCCAGCTGCTGCCCAGATGTTTGTCCGTGGGACCCCCCCTTTTTGCGGAGCCCCTTGGGGCGAGCGGAGCCGGAGGGAGCCCGGGGCGGAGGAGCCGCAGSCCCCGCGTCTCCCAGCTGAATAATTAATGGTTCATGTGCGGAGGGGGCGGCGGGATGGGGGGAACTGGGGTGGAAAGAGGAGGAAAGCGGCGGGTGCCATTTCTAGGGGCCCGGCGTGGCCATCGATCCGCGGTTCGCTGATTCGGATTAATCCATCAGGCGGACTCCTGCGGCCCCGGGCCGGGACCAGGACCGGGACCAGCAGCGGGACCAGGACTAGGATCAAAAACAGGAACAAAAATAAGAATAGGACCGGGACCAAAACCAGGAACAASACCAGGAATAGGGCCAGAAATAAGAATAGAAATAGTGCCAGGATCGGGACGAGAAGGAGGAATACGATCAGAAATAGAAATAGGAATAGAACCAGGACAGGAYCAGGAATAGGATCACAACCAGTGCCGGCCCTCGCCCGGGCCGTGCCCTGTGTAGAACATTCTGCTTTTTCTTTTACTGGGAAGGAAAAATTCCTCTCCCTGCCCAGGTCCCTTTCCTGCTTGCCGGGGGGCGAAGGTTGCAATCACCCGGAGCCCTCCAGGCCCCCAGCCCGGGGCAGCCTGAAAGGACGAGCAGACTCAACCCGCGGCCTCGGGCTGGGCCGGGCTGAGGATTCACCTGCATCGATCGGGGGGCTCGGCYGCGGCCCCCCCAGCGCCACCCCCTSCCCCAGACCCCGCTCGGGGCAGCCGGGCCGGGGCTGAGCCCGCGGGGCTGGGACGGACCCCACGGCCGGGCCCGGGAGGGGGAAACGGCGGCAGGAGCGAAACGAAAGCGGGACCCAGCGGGGCTCGGGGCCAAGAACAAAGCGGCGGGACCGGGGGGGCAGCTCGGCCGAGCCCYTCCACGAACGGCGTGGGGCGGCCCGGGCCCGCTTGGGATTCACGAGTGGATTCATGAGGGGAGGTTGGGCTGGTGGTTGGAGGGTTTTTTTTTCCTGTTTTCACGGACAGCAAATGAACCAACCCCGTTCCCCGGAAATCTGGGGGGGTTAATTCCCGTAAATAATGGGGACATGGCGGCCCTGGCGCCGGGGAAAACGGCGCTGGGGAAGAAAAATCATTATGGGGAGAATAAACTCCCACGGCGGCGGGAGGAGCAAAGCGGTGACAGCGGGGACAGGGACCTTCCRAGCCGGTCGGGGGACAGGGATCCCCGAGCCGGGCCGGGGACAGGCACCTCTCGAGGCGGGCCGAGAACAGCGTTCCCCCTGAGCTTCCCCCAGCTGCGGCCGCCTTTTAATCAYCACCATCACGGTTATTTTTAATTATTAGTACTATCATTATTTTTGAATTATTTATTATTATTTTCAATCCTGTCGAGGCAGAAGCCCAAGCCCTCTGCTCAATTAGCCCCAACAACGGGGGCATTAAACGGCCGATCGCGGCAGTGTTTAAATCTTTATTTACCAGAACCTTGTAAAGCCAGGAACAATTTGCATTCTATTAACTGCTTTTCAATAGGGCATCGACTGGAACTAAAAGATGCCACTACCCTGCCCTAATTAAAGAGCAACTGAATTACACTAAATACATATGAACGCTGCTCTTCCCCATAAATAACGGCGGGTCCTCGTCGCTGGCTCTGCCCTTCCCCGCGGGGAGCTCGGATTTCTTAAAAAATAAATTAAAAATCACAAACGCGTGTTTCCCCCGCCACGGCTCGGCCCCGCGGAGCCAAGAGCTCCGGTCGTTTCCGGGGGGAGCGGCTCCGTGCCGGGGGTGACGGGGAGCACCGGGCACGACCCCGCTGGCCGCCGTCCCCTCTGTCGCACCCTCCGGCCCCTTCCCCCGCCACCCCCGCCCGCCCTCGGCACAGAAACCTCGCGTTTCTCCAGCAAAGCYTCGGCCCAGCKCCGGCCCGAGGCCGCGGGGAACGGSGCTGCGGGACCTSAACCCAASTAGGAACCGGAGACRYGGGGCTCCTTCCTCCTGCCGAGGGCAGCCGGTGCCCGGAGGGAGCGGAGCGCGGCCCCGGTCCCGCAGCCCCGGCGGGGTGGCCCAGGGATTCCCCCGAGCTCGGCCCCGGTACCGAGCGGCGATGGCCGCACCAACCGCCGAGGAGTTCCTGGGCACTCCCGGAGCCAAGGAGCCGGCTCGGCGGCACCGAGAGGGAAATCCCCGGGGCAAGGGACGGGTGGCGGGGAGCGGTGGGCACCTCTCAGCTCCCTCCACCCGCGACCCCGCATGTCTCGTGGGCGGCAGCATGGCCGGGGGTAAAACTCACCTTAAATCCAACCCCCTTCCCTTCGGTCTTAAGATTACAAATCGTTCCGGTAACACCCGCCCGAGCCCGGCCCCAGCTGGCCATGGCAACCCCGAAACCCCCGAGGGCTTCCAGGCGTGTTCGCGGCACCCCCTGAGCCACCCGGCCGGAGGTGCGGGGCGGGCGGCCCGAGCCGTGCCGTGCCGTGCCGTGCCGTGTCCTACCTGCAAGCCTGAGCGCCGACATCCTCTGAAATTCCGGCTCCTGCAACCATTTCCACATCCTGCGGAAAGTCTCCCGGCCGGACTTGAGCTTACTCCAGGGCTTGGGGTTCCGCAGCAGGTCCGAGAGGGTCCCCTGGGAGCGGCACAAGATCCTCTGCGCGAAGATGGCCTGCGGGATGCTGTACCGCTTCAGCTCGGCCGTGATCCTCTGAGCCACCTCCTTGGTGTTGATCTCCTCCACCTGCCCGGAGCCGCCGGGCTGGGAGCCGGGGCCGGGTGCCGGGCGCTCCCGCTCGCCCAGCAGCGAGGCGCCGGGCTGGCCGTGCGGGTGGCCGTGCGGGTGCATCCCGTTGAGCGGCGGCATCATGGCCGAGCTGGGCGCCGCCAGCCCCCGCGCCAGGTGCTCCTCGCCCCGGGACAGCATCGCGGCGTGCGAGTCGAAGCCGTTGGGCGAGAGCATCTTCTCGTTGGGCAAGTGGCCGGCGGGGCCGTAGGGGGCCAGCGGCTGCTGGGCGTTGTGGAGGCTGCCCAGCCCGTTGGGCAGCGGCGACAGRGGCTGCCCCATGGCCGGCATGTCCTTGGGGTAGTGGCTGTAGAGATTGCCCATGGAGGCCAAGCTCCGCTCGTCGCGCATGAGGGTGAAGCTGCCGCTGACGTTGCCGGCCAGGCGCTGGTGCGGGTGGTGGTGGTGGTGGTGGTGGTGCGGGTGGTGGAACTTCTCCGAGACGGTGGAGATGGGCGGCAGGTGCTGCAGGGGGGTCAGCGTGGTGTAGGTGCTGCTCAGGCTCATGCCGGAGGGCGACTCGCAGGACATGCTCATGGCGGGGTGCAGCGGGGCTCCCAGGCTGTGCTCGCCGCGGTAGTCGCCCCCCTCCAGGATGGAGGCCATGCCCGAGACCATGGCGGGCCGGCCGTGCGGCACCAGGTTGCGGTGCGAGCTCTGCCGCCCGTGCGCGGGGCTCAGCAGCTCGGCGGGCTGCGAGTGCGGGACGCCGTGCAGGCTGCCCAGGTTCTCCATCGCCAGCTCCATGGTGGCCGCCGGGCTCTGCCGCTGCCTCGCCCGCTCGCTCGCT